TTTTTTTTTTTACAATATAAAATTTTCTGACAGTAGAGAGACTTAAAAGTACATCTGGAATTACTCAGAAAAAATAATAATAATAAACAGGGAGAAAAGGCAGTCGTTGGAAAAACCTGTCCCTCGTAGACACACAGACACAGACATTGCTTGCAAGACCCAACTTTGACTTTTAAGGGCAGCGTGGGGAGGAAGAGGCTCTTCCCCTCTCCCATGTGTGCACCCCCTCCTCTCTGTGGGTCTCTGCCACGACCCCCCCTTCCCTCTTCCTCCCCCCAAACCTCAGGATTCCCTCTGTGATTCTTATTGCTCTATACGGAGTGCAGCCAATGTGGGGTTGGGGAAAATGAAGCCCTGTAAGCAGAAGGCTCAGTGGGGAGAGGCTGTGGGGACACTGCGACCCAATGATGGGATGGGGAGGGGGGGGATGAAAGGGGTGAGGGCTGAGCTGGGGCTGCTGTGGGGTCAACAGTGGGATGGGAACATGATAACAGTAGGACTGGTGTGGCAGCACCTGGATGGGGACTGCTGTGGGGTCAAGAGTGGGGCTGCCATGGGGTCAATGCTGGGACTGATACTGTGCCAAGAGTAGGGCTGCCATGGGGTCAACAGTGGGACTGCCATAGGGTCAATGCTGGGACTGCCATGGTGCCAACACCATCACCATTGCAGTGCCAACAGTGGGGCTGCCATGGGGTCAACAGTGGGACTGCCATAGGGTCGATGGTGGGACTGCTGTGGGGTCAACACTGGGACCACTATGGTGCCAATGCTGGGACTGCCATGGTGCCAACACCATCACCATTGCAGTGCCAACAGTGGGGCTGCCATGGGGTCAATGCTGGCACCACTGTAGTGCCAACACTGGAACCACCATGGTGACAACACCAAGACTGCCATGGGGTCAACACTGGGTCTGATATTGTGCCAACACTGGGACCACCGTGGTGCCAACACTGGGACTGCCATGGTGCCAACATCATCACCATTGCAGTGCCAACACTGGAACCACCATGGGGTCAACACTGGAAGCACCATGGTGACAACACCAAGACTGCCAAAGTGCCCAAACCTCCACCACTGTGGTGCCAACACTGGGACAGCCGTGGTGACAACACCAGGACCACCACCGTGCCAATGCTGGAACTGCCATGGTGACACCACTGGGTCTGCCACTGTGCCACCACCATCACCATCCCAGGATGGCAGTGGCTCTCTGTGCCCCACAGGGCGATGGATCCTTTTGGAAACGTTTTGGGTCACTCTGATTAAAAGCAGCAATTCAGGTCCTGGCAGTGTTTTTTTGGGGTCCTGGCAGGGTGCAGAACTCCCAGATTATGAAATGGATGGAAAAACAGCTCTGGAATGAAGGAATTCAGAATTTGCCATTTATATCAATGGTCCCCGTGTGCACAGCTTGGGATGGGGGAAAAGACATGGAAGCATTTGGGTGCTCCCCACCCCACATGTGAATAAGGCCATGTGGCTCCACAGGCAGAGAGTGACCCAGCACAGCCCCCACCCAGCACAGAGCTACGCCCCACTACTGCTCCATCCCATCCCATTATGGCTCCATCCCATCCCAGTATGGCTCTGTTCCCTCCCAGTACGGCTCTGTCACGTCTCATCCCAGCACAGTCCCATCCCACTCCCACAGAGCTCCTCTCCATCCCACCATGGAGCTCCATCCCAGCACAGAACCATTTGAGCACAGAGCTCCATCCCATCCCAGTTCTGCCCCACCCCAGTACAGCTCCATCCCACCATGCTTTCAATCCCAGTAGAGAGATCCACTCCAGTTCCATCCCATCATGGAGCTCCATCCCAGCACAGCTCCATCCCAGTTCAGAGCTCCATCCCAGTTCTGCCCCATCCCAGCACAGCCCCATCCCAGCATGCAGTTCCTCTCCATCCCAGTTCCATCCCATCATGGACCTCCATCCCAGCAAAGCCTCATTTGAGCACAGAGCTCCATCCCATCCCAGTTCTGCCCCATCCCAGCACAGCCCCATCCCAGTACAGAGCTCCATCCCAGTTCTGTCCTATCCCAGCACAGCCCCATCCCAGCATGCAGCTCCTCTCCATCCCAGTTCCATCCCATCATGGACCTCCATCCCAGCAAAGCCTCATTTGAGCACAGAGCTCCATCCCATCCCAGTTCTGCCCCATCCCAGCACAGCCCCATCCCAGCATGGAGCTCCTCTCCATCCCAGTTCCATCCCATCATGAAGCTCCATCCCAGCACAGCCCCATCCCAGTACAGAGCTCCAGCCCACCCCAGTTCCATCCCATCATGGAGCTCCATCCCAGCACAGCTCAATCCCAGTACAGAGCTCCATCCCAGTTCTGTCCTATCCCAGCACAGCCTCATCCCAGCATGGAGCTCCTCTCCATTCCAGTTTCACCCCATCATGGAGCTCCATCCCAGCACAGCCTCATTCCAAAACAGGGCTCAATCCCAGCATGGAGCTCCAGCCCACCCCAATTCTGCCCCATCCCAGCACAGCCCCATCCCAGTACAGAGCTCCACCCCAGTATCAGCCCTCTACAGAGCTCCTTTCCACCCCAGTTCCATCCCATCATGGAGCTCCATTCCAGCACAGCCCCATCAGAGCAGGTTCTGATGCCAAAATTCAGCACTGTAACAGTAAACGCTAAAACCTTTCCATTCAGTTCAGTTCTACTATTTTGCTGCTGAGGGAGAAGCTGAACTGCAGCTTCTCAGCATTATTTTCTCTCTGTTCGACAGAAATAATAATAATAATCTTTTCATTACAAAAATCAGGATTTGGATGAGGAATATTTATATTTGATAGGGGAAAATATTTACATGCCGTATGGACAAATGAGGTGTGTTTTTTTTTTTTTTTTTTTTTTTTTTTTTTTTTTTTTTTTTAATTTACATTACAAATTAAATAGCAATTAAATATTTCCTATTAAGCACTATTCTATTCCAGCACATGACGACGCATCATCGGATTCTCAGGAGTGGGGCAATGCAGGAATGGGGATGGGGTGAGCACCCCAAGGTCATGGGGACACTGTGAGCACCCCAAGGTCATGGGGATGGTGTGAACATCCTGGGGACATGGGGGTATGTGAGCACCCCAAGATCGTGGGGACACTGTGAGCACCCCAAGATGGGTGATGGTGTGAGCATTCTTGGGACATGGGGGTATGTGAGCACCCCAAGAACATGGGGACACTGTGAGCACCCCCAAGATCGTGGGGACTGTGTGAGCACCCCAAGATGGGTGATGGTGTGAGCATTCTGGGGACATGGGGGTGATCTGACCACCCCAAGAACATGGGGATGATGTGAACACCCCAAGATGGGGGATGGTGTGAACAGTCTGGGGACATGGGGACTGTGTGAGCACCCCAGGAACATGGGGGAGCAACCCAAGAACATGAGGATGGTGTGAACATTCTGGGGACTTGGTGACTGTGTGAGCACCCCAAGATGGGGGATGGTGTGAGCATTCTGGGGACATGGGGGTATGTGAGCAACCCAAGAACATGGGGACACTGTGAGCACCCCAAGATGGGGGATGGTGTGAACATCCTGGGGACATGGGGACTGTGTGAGCACCCCAAGAACATGGGGACACTGTGAGCACCCCAAGATGGGTGATGGTGTGAACATTCTGGGGACTTGGGGGTATGTGAGCAACCCAAGAACATGAGGATGGTGTGAACATTCTGGGGACATGGGGGTGACTGTGTGAGCACCCCAAGATGGGGGATGGTGTGAGCATTCTGGGGACATGGGGGGATGTGAGCACCCCAAGATTATGGGGATGATATGAGCAGCCCAAGATGGGTGATGGTGTGAGCATTCTTGGAACATGGGTGGATGTGAGCACCCCAAGAACATGGGGATGGTGTGAACATCCTGGGGACGTGGGGACTGTGTGAACACCCCAAGATGGGGGATGGTGTGAGCATTCTGGGGACATGAGGATGGTGTGAGCACCCCAAGATCATGGGGATGATGTGAACACCCCAAGATGGGTGATGGTGTGAGCATTCTGGGGACATGGGGGTGATCTGACCACCCCAAGAACATGGGGATGGTGTGAGTACCCCAAGGTCATGGGGATGGTGTGAACATCCTGGGCACATGGGGACTGTGTGAGCACCCCAAGATCGTGGAGACACTGTGAGCATCCCAAGATGGGTGATGGTGTGAGCATTCTTGGAACATGGGTGGATGTGAGCACC